TGTGTGTGTGTGTGTGTGTGTGTGTGTGTGTGTGTGTGTGTGTGTGTGTGTGTGTCCCAGCTTGTGTCTGAAGCTTAGCTTGTTTGTCCATCTCTGGGTTCCCTCAAAATACACACACACAGACACACACACACACACACACTCCCCGGAGGGAAAATACGGCCTGTGGGCCACAGCAGAGAGTTGCAGCAAAGGAAGGAAGCAGCAGAGTTGAGAGGGAACATTTCTGTCTGCTTGTGTGTGACACATCTGGATTTCACACGTCTCACAGCCCCCACAACCCCCCTTTCTGTGCACATGTTTGCTTAGACACAAAAAACACTGGTTTCTCTCTCTCTCTTTTTTCGTCTATCCTAATCTTATTTTCTGGACAGTTTGATCATTTAAGGCGACAATACAAAATAAACTATAAAAAGAACACAATGGTTAATTTTGGTTTAATTTCACAGCTTTTTTTCCTAATTATTGCATATCTTTTGCCTTTCACTGGTGGGTAATGATGTTTTTGCCCATGTCTACAAGCGCATTTTGTGTGTTGGCAAAATATCCCATGGAATGTAATCATTGCTTTAACTGGTGGCTCCCACAGCTAATCAACAGCTGTTATTTTCAAGACTTGACCAAAACAGCTCTAACTACAGATATTATAGCTTTAAAAGCCACATAAAAGAGAAAAATGCTGTTTTAAAGTTTAGAATTTTGTAAGTTATTCTTACCGTCAGCGTCTGTGTGTTTACACTCTCTGCTCCTCTGCTGGATCTCCAGCTCAGCAAGTTCCCCCAATATTTCCATTCCACGATGTGATGAAGGGCACGGTGCCTGATCAACGGGTACTGGAGGGCACAAGGCATCTCTGGAGGCACACAGGGCCGCGGCAATCAACAGCTCCAGACTCCACATGTAGGCCCCTTCCAGTTGAGCTGCTGCGCTCGTTGGAGGAACAGTCGGGTCAGATTGGGACGGAGCGGGAGAAGGACACAATACTTCCAAGTCTTCATCTGGACTTCTCCCACTCTTATCCTCTTTTGCTTTAATATCCTCAACCACCTCTACATTCTCTCCATCCTGCTCCGCCTCCTCCTCTTCGGGCTCCGCAGGCACAGAGATGGTACATTCATCTGGTTCAGGCTCCACGTTAATCTCCTCAAAGTCCACTTTTCCATGCTCCTCGTCGTCTCCTTCCTCTTTGGATAGCTGGCTCTCCTCGAGGCCAGCCTTCTGACCTGAGCAACCCAGAGGAAGATCCCCCTTTATAGCTAGATCCGAAACTGGAGCCTGGAAAGGACATGGCAGTAATCCAGAAATTTGGCTCCCTGTCTCAGATTCAGAGCATCCTTTCGCTTCCTCCAGGGACTTCACCACTTTGCAGTCTTCCTCCTCCTTCCTCATCTCCTCCTCTACAGTGAGAGGCTGGACGTGGCATTGTTGGGAGAGAGACTTGGATTCGGGCCCCGCTGGCTCGTCTTCTGCCAAAGGATGCTCAGCCAGCCGGGCTTCAGGAGGAGACGGCCCGGCCTTGTAACCCAGGGCAACTGGAGAGAATGTATAAACAGGTGGCAGGTCTGGAGGAGGGAGGAGAAAGCAAAAGTCAAACTCTTGACACGAAACAAACTTATGGTCTGTGTGTCGGTCAAAAATCCAACAGACAGCAGAGTAAACTGTTCTTGTGTTTTAAACTGACAGACATTCTGTGCAGGCAGACAGGATGAAGAATGTGATCACGTCTGGTTGTGCACACAGTGTGTATTGTGTATGCAGAATCCTTATGTGTGTGTGTAGAAGTGTGAGTATATAGATCTATGTGGGATATTGATGACACCCTGCTGTTTTCCTATGATTGCAGCTGCAGCCCTGTCACCCCTGCTCTCCTATTATTGATGATATCCCTCCGCCCTCAGCCAAATGAATGWGTTTCMTTCCGCCTGTGCCTTCCAAGGACCTCTGAAGGATAAGGAGGCTCTGTCTAAGAGCTACAGTACCACTGACCTTCCTTTTGTGACACACATACGCGCACTGACAGGTCACACTCACACACGTAAAGAGAGGTGACCATATGCTTTCTCTGACCTTAATGGCTGACCCGCCTACTGTCCCCTCTTTAGCTTGCACACAGKGGGGAAAAAGTATACACTCAAGGACGCACAGAGTGAGGGATCAGCCCTGCTTCAAACAATCTCTGCGAAATCAAAAGAATACCACGCTTCAAAGAGCTGGGCCACATTTCAGCAATAGTGGCCTCCATCTCTCTGCCTCTTTTCCTCTTCCATATTTTATCTCTCTATCGCTGCCATGCCTGCTGTCTTCACATTTTCTGCTATCAGACCGTTCAGCCTGCCGGTGCAGTTCTTTCAGTTCAAACGAGCCCACAGTCTTCTCCATACACACCTGGTTCCAAGGATTGTGGGTAATCCTGTGGTGGCTGCCCCTCTCCCCTGTCACTCCCCCTCTCCAGTCCCTTTGAGAGGTGCGAGGGAGCGGGGCTGAGGGCCGGGGAGCGCGGCGCTGCCGCGGCCGGGCTCGGGGCAGGGATCAGAGGGTTGGGCGGGTGTGGGCGCGCCGAAGGGGAGAGGTAGCAGGGGGACTGCCGACTGCTGGGACAGAGCCCCGGAGATGGCGTGGACGTCTTGTGTAAAGGGGGAGGAGGGTGGGAGAAGGGTTTTGCCGCATGGGAGGAGGCAGCAGATGATGAAGAGAGAGTTCTGGATGCTGGAGGTTCACTGGGAGAGTCTTCTATTGTGATAGTGTGATCCTCATGCTTTCTCTTTGAAACAGAAAACAGAGAGAAAACGAATAAMCGTCATAAATCATTATCTCATGAATTTAATATTTTTGTTTGGATAATTATAACTCTTTAAATGGCATCATGCTGTTTGATTGCAAAATTATCTTACAAAAGACGAAAAAACACATTTTAATATGTTGAAAACATTACATTAAACATGATAATTTAACGCTTTTGGAAATGCTTCTGGATGGTGTTAGTAACRATCTTACTTGTCCTATAGGGGTGCGCTGCATGTGCTCCATAGCTCGCTGCTGATGCTGATGTTGCAGGGCATACAGCTCCTGCTGTTGTAAGAATGAGGTGCGTGAATAGACCGGGTGGTGCTGCAGGTGAGGAGGAGGGGCCCTAGCTCCATACACTGGAGGCCACAAACCCGACTGCTCCAAAACATCTAGAGAAGGAATGAAAAAAAAGAAAGAAAAAAGGTCAAAAGGACAGTGTTGAGACCGTGGCTGCATTTGAGTGATTTCAAACATGACCCAAATGGAAGAAAACAAAACACAATTCTTAAAAAAACACATCTACTCTCAATATGTGAGCAACAAAATATCACTATAGATCCTTTTGTCCCAGAGAACCTGCTTGATGTCGTTAAACTTTTGATTCTGAACGACCGAAGCTTGAACAAGTCWCTTGCTTGAACACTTTTTTTATAAAGAGAGGGGATTTTTGAGCAAGAAAATACACGCTTTTGTCCGGCTACCACCCAAAACGCATGTCCTCACATACACACACTAATGCGTCCTCACATACACACACAGACACACATCCCCTCCTTGGCGGCCTTGTCGCTGGGAACCTTTGTTCTGTGAGATTAGCCTGAGTGGGCTAATGTTTCCCAGGGGAAGGGTTCAGTGGATGCACTTCCCCTCTCTGCAGGAACTCTCACAGAGCGAGTCAAGGGAGGCGGGAGATAATTAAATTTCACAGCCTGTTTGCAAAGCAGCGCTGACACCCCCCTACCACACATGCACGCACGCACACACATTTGCTTTTTCTACAGTAATGGCTGAGACTTACTAAAAAAAATTCTGCAACATATATTGTTTCAGACGTATAACTTAACACAGCACAAAGTCGAGCCCAAACACATCAGGGCTCTGCCACAAGAGAGATAAACCACCAGTTCAAATGGTCTGCATAATGCTGGGCACACGCAGAGGGGGCAATGGAATAGCTGCTCCCATTAACAAAGCTATAAAACACTGTCCCACTGACAGAGGGACTTAGTTGAGCATTATATTATGATTAGCCAATGATACTAAAACTCTGGGAGAGAAATGGTTGGAGCTTTCGTGCTACAGACAGGATGAAAGTGGGAGGCAGTACGTCTGGATWATGAATATAGATTCAGCTTGGTGTACATGTGCTTCTGTTGTTGTGGAAATGTTCCTTACCAAGATGATGATGAGGCCCAGGTTCTGTAGGGAGAACTACAAGAGGGGAGTTGGGATCTTGGGTAAGTGACCCCAAGACAGGCGGCAAAGGACTGGCAAGACCGGGTGGGAAACTTGGACTCATTCCCACGTGGCCCAAACCTGGAATACAGGTGCACATTCAAATCAGAGCAACCTTGAAACACCGAAATTCATCTTTAAATATTAAAAACAGAGAACATTTGTCTGCACAATCCTGTTGAGGGACTTGGTTTACTCACTGTATGAATGCCCCATCCAAAGGGAGGGACTTCCTGTTCTCTGCATCCAGTGGTGGTGAACTGGGTGAGCATGCGCAACAGGGTCTGCCCCCAACTGGCTTGTTCCTCCCGTGACCAGGAGGTGAGACGTCAGGTCACCGTGGCAGCTGCTAGAAGGGTGGATCCTGGCAAACTCCACGCAGTCCTTGTTTTCCCTGCTGGGGCATCGGGAAGGCGAACTTTATCATTACTTTGATTATCCCTCTTATTGCCATCATCCTCATCATCATTATTATGATCATTATCTTCATCCATGCCATCTTCATTACCTCTACTACCATTATAATCATCAAGAAAAGGAAATGTGACGGCAACAGGAACAGCCATCATCTTGTGCCTGGTCTATGACTTCTCATTATATGTTTTCTTCCCTTAATATGACTACATAATAAGAGCCTGATACTTCAGAGACATCCGTATTAGTCCTTGTAACATTAATGCAACACATCTCATCTTCAAGAGAAAGAGAAGGGAAGCAGAAGAGCGAGGAGGTACAGAGAAACCACATCAAAGGGTGAGAGGAGTAAATGGAGTGAGCGGGGAGAGAGAAAAGAGGAGCAGAACTTCAGTCTGGGAGAAAGGTGCAAYGTGAATAAAAGAAGAGCAGCTTATCAAACAAGAGAAAAGAAGGATAGATGCTCATGTGCGCATTTGTGTGTATGAACATACATGGTGTTTGTGACTTTACCTGATGACCAGTTCCCTGTCTCTGTCAAGATGGTGAAGGCTGATCTGTTCCTCTGTCATCCTCTTCCTCTCCTCCAGGTCCCGACCAAGAGGATACACGGGGCGTGACACCCCTAAATCAAAAGTGCAGCATTTAAACATGCTCTTTTAAAAATAATAACCAACTCTTACCATGCCTCACATATTTCTAAGACAAAACAGAACATCCTAAGTGATTCAAGTCCTTTATAATGTCTGACCTTTCATGCTGGGCAGCACCCTGCTCTGTCTGCTGTTTCCAGGAGAGCTGTCCTGGAAACGATGAGGGGGCCTGGCCACGGCTACAGCAATACCCACCGGAGGCTGCCGGACCTCCCCTTCTCCTGCTTCCCCCACCTCCTTTACGCCTCTGTCAGTCTTTTCCCCCTCGTTAGTGGAGCCCCGGCAAGAAGGGAGAGACTGTTTGGGGGGATCTTGGAGTGAGGCGTTGCTTTTAGCTCCTCCTCTGTCTGCCCTGTCCGATCTCTCCCCGCTCCTGCTGAGGCAGCCAAGACCACCAAAAGGACTTCGCTGTGGCAACAACAAGGGCTGCTGGGAGCTGTAGTTCATTAGGTTCTTTATGGCACTGCCCTCACCATCGTTGGTGTGTGGTGAGGAATGGGTAAGTGGTGGAGGCTGTTGAGAGTGGCTCCCTTTACTGACCGACACATGGTGGGTGCTTCTTCTCTGGTCTTCTTGTTGAGCCCCTCGAACCGCCCACGAAGAAGCAGTTTGATTTCCATCTCTTTCCCTGTCCTCTCCACTTCCTGCCTGACTGCTGTACTGCTGGTGCCGTATTCTTGCAACCTTTTGTCCTTCCTTCTGCACTGAGGGCCCTAGTCCCACCTTTCCATCCGAACTTGAACGAGAACAGTCCCTAAAAGAACAAGTGCTGCAATCGGGACCGTTGCTGGACGCGCCCTGTCCAGAACTTGACTGTTCTTCGTGGCTATCTGGTGGGATTGAAGGGCGGTAAATCTCATTTGAAATGTCACCATCTCTGAATGATGAAGATGTGTCCAGGCTGCAGGACCGCAGTTCAGGTTGAGAGCTTGCATTGGAGCCAGACTTTTGGAAGTGATGCGTTTGTTGGCTCCAGTCAGGAAGTTTGTCAGCTTTGCCGTATCCCATCTGCTGTTGCTGTGGCTGAGATTTGTCTTTCTTTTGGCAGCTGCTAAGGCGGCTGTGGTGATGAGGGGAACTTTCATAAGATCGTTCTACACTTTTGTCTTCTGTTTTCCTCTCACCCCCTCCTGCTCCACGACAATCGGGGGCAGCCAAGTCGCCCTGCAGCCCAACCGAGGGCACGTAAGTTGGGCCAGTGACTTTGGACTCCCTGCCTGACATTCCAGTGCAAGACGCTGGATCCTTAGAGCATGTCAGCGTTAGTGGAGGAGGGGGGCAGTAAAATTCAGGATGCGGATGGTGACTTGGAGGGTGTAGCCACCCTCCTGTCACTGGTGAACCCATATGCAAAGAGTGAGGAGGTGGTGGTGCAGGAGGTGGAGGCATGGAGTAAGAAGCCACAGAGTGAGGTGTCGGAGGTGCCAGGAAAGCTGCTGCTGAAACAGCCCCCCGTCGCATACATTCAGTTGAGGAAGTTGAGGACTCTCTGATTCTCATTTCCCCATTATTGGGTGAATCTTTTGAGCCTTGCCTGCTGCCTCCAGATGTGAGTCTACCCACCCCACCACCATTGCAGCTGCTTAGTGTTCCTCCTTTTCCTCCACATGCAGACTCTGACCCGGCTGCACCAGACAGTTTACAGGCACTCATAAGTTTTGTTCCCTGACTGCCCGAGTCATTGTCTTTGTAGTCTTTGTGTCGTTCCAGGGAGTGTCTGTGGTCCTCCTCCCGGCCCTGGAGCGAGAGGTGGGGGAGAAGGGCGTGGTGAGGGTGGGGGTAAGCCTGATGCTGGWGGCCCGATGGAGGGGTGGCAGCATTCGTCTGATGAGGCTGGTGATGATGGAGCTGTTGTTTGTCTTTGCTGTCCTGGTGTTGCTCTTTGCTGCTTGATCGCTCCTTGTCTTTTGACGCGACTCCCTTATCGCCCAAATCCTTGGTGCTCTTCCCACCTCCTCCCCCGCTGTCTGCCTCCCGGCTGCATGGGCCGAGCGGGTGGCCTGGGGCRGACCTGGACAACGGGGGAAGGTTGTGATTGGTAGAGATCAGAGGGGACTGAGGAAGGCCTCTCATGTAGAAGTGATCTAGGAGGAAACGGAAGCACAAAAGTGAGCACTAGAAGAGATCAGACACATGTTCTGTTAAAAATAAATAATTAAATGACAAAAAAATTAACTTCACTAAAAATTTACAACCAGTGGTGGGCACCAGCCCGCTAAAGGGCAAATCTGCTTATTRCGTACCTAAATATTTTGGTTGCGGTCTTACTAATTTTTACAATTCATAAGCGGTTTTGCGCTTTCTAAAATTAAAATGCAGTACCACTAATAACTAATTATCTACCAGTCATTATCTTGAACAGCAGAAGGTATGGCTGTCAATGAATCACAACACACGTGATCTATCCAACAGCACCCGTCCCAGATAAACACACTTATTGGAAAGGTATACATCCTTGCTGATTGTTGCATTCGGTTACGGTTCTGATTTCCCACAATGCTTTGTGTCTGCTTACATAGCAGGAAGGCAATAGAAAAACAGTTAACTTTTGTAATCCATTCTAAAATTTTGGATGTATTAATTTATTTTTACTTTACAATTGGAGCTCCTTTTTTAAAAAAAAGTTTAAATCCTGGAGCTCAATACTTGACGTAATTGGTCGAAGCAACGGGGTTAAAGACGCAGAAATGATTTAAAGATGTTTTGCTGATGAAGACTGACATCTAGTGGTCAACTGGAGCAACTACATGGAAAACTTTAAAATCCATTCTCTTATTTTGAAGGGAAGATAATTTCCTGTTCTCCGTGCTTTCGTTTCCTGTCACAAGTCAAATCCGTCATGTACCCAGAATGCATTGCTTCAGTTTTCCAATAAACAGTTTTAAAATTACTTTATTTATGCTTTTTTAATGAAAAAATCTACAACAAACAAAAGAAAAAGACAAAGAAACAGCCGAACTAGCAATCCTCAACAACTTTTTTAAAAATCAGCTGAACTAGCAATCCTCAACAACTTTTTAATTTTTACACCAGGAGCTAAAGGTCTGTTTCAGGAAATCACATCTGCAGCAATCGGCGGTTGTAGAATTAAGTTATAAAAGGGTTCATACGCCGCTAGTTGGCAGTGTTGTGCATATATTGTACATGAATTGTTGCCAGCTAGTAAGTGTCAAATTGAACTTGCGCTTTAATATTAGCTTCTGCTAGTTTTTCTATGGCATGAGCGCTTTTGAAGTTGCGGACCTAAATATTTTCATAAGCGTTTTAGAAATTGGGGAGCTAAATTTTGGATTAGTGCTGCCCAGCACTGGTTACCACTTGCTTTTATTTCTGTGATGATGCTGAATAGGCAGTTTGAGGATTTTCTGTGCAGAAAACGTGATTTCCCCCAACAATCTCACAATCACACGAATAACCTACCTTTTGGCGTTTCATAGAAGCGGTGCTGTCCATAGAGACTGTTGCTGTGGTGATCCAGGGCACTCATGGGGAGAAATGGAGAAGCAAGACTTCCTGAATAGCCAGGGTACCCTGTTGGTGGGAGGGCGAGCGAGAATGAATTGAAGTTTCTTCTCKGTGCTGACATTCAGCAGGACTCAAAACAAACAGTTTATCGCTACAGTCTTTCACAAAGTAGACTCATTAAAAAAAATTAAAAAATTACAGCCAGTTAGCGCTACTTTTAACATAAATGCACTTTTGCACAAACATGCCAGATGAGTTGACATTATTTACGGTGGACAAAGTGGTGACAAAAACCACAGCCGACAACTACTGCCAAGTGTTTGCAGCAGTTGACTGAAGGGAATTTCTCTTCTACAAAACAAATTTCCCCCCCTCAAAACCCTAAGACAAATAGTCTGAAGCATTGGTCCCACCCCTCGCCCTAAAGTACACACACTGAGTCCTCCCAGGAGGTCACCGGGAGGTAAACGGTCGTTTCACTCTGTTCTTCGTCTTCAAGGACGTTGAACCAAATCGTGGGATAGAAGGAGGCCTTGTGCTGATTGGGTGGGCGCGCATTCGCACATGCTCGCATGTTAGCGCGCACACGCTACACAGGGAGGCACGCATTATGAAGCAAAAAGACTTGGGCTATGTGTGCGTGCACAAGTGTCTGCTATGCAGGAGTTGGTTTCATGCCCCACAGAGTGTCCTTGCTGGCCCGTTAATTGGCAGCCGTTAAAAGTTTAACAGTGGTGGCCAAAGTAAACAGCACTCCATAAAAACTCATCCTACGCATTCCACAGTCACACAGCAAAACCACAAACACCCCCTCACTGCTTTTAGCATGAATGTGAGTGTGTGTGTGAGTGTTAGAGAGAAAGAGAGAGAGAAAGAGAGAAAAGGAGAGATTAGTCCGACTGGTTAACAACCAGTGAATCTAAACGGTGACAATTAGACAAAAGACTATATCAGCCATTTCAGGCCAATCCCCCGGGTAATGATGAGTGATATAACCCAGGAGGAAGGAAAGATGAGGACAGAGGGAACAAGGATGATGTGGAGACAGGAGAGCAAAAAAAATTGGGAAACAATAGGAGAGTTAAAGCTGAATAAGAATTACTCATGCTTTCCCAATCCAGTTTGTGTGTGATGTAGATTTTGTCATCTTTACTGTCCACTAATGTCAACCAGCCTGTCAGTAGACAAGAGCATTGTTTTGTGGAAAGACTGTGTTGCTGCTATTAACATTTGCATAATATATCTCTCGCAGACACAAAAACTGCATCCTGGTGAGAAATGACTAAAACATTGTTTCTTCTCATCTTCTGGATATACAGTATAGTTGAAAAATCAACACATGGCTGTAGTGAACTCTGTAGGTCTCTGTGTGGAACATTGTGACACAGCTGAATGTTTGCCTATGGCTGCGACTGAATAACAGCATTCGTGAGTAAGTCTCCAGAATGTCTTGAAAGTGTTCACAGTGTGTTCTCAATTTTCTAGCATAAGTCGCTGAGGCACACAGCCCTGTCACTTCAGTTTTGATCAGATTTAAAAGATYTGAGTGCCAGCTTTGCTCTATTCTGGACGTCTCCAACCTGAATAACCAAAAGTTTTAAAAACTACACCAATATTACACTAAACATATTTGCTCACCTGTCTTGACTCACATATGAGGTTAAGTGRCATCCCATTCCTAATCCATAAGGTTCAATATGACGTTGGTCCATCCTTTGCAGCTAGAACAAGCTGTCCACAGGGTTTAGGAGTGTGTTTATGTTTTTTTTACCATTCTTCCAGAAGCACATTTGTGAGGTCACATWCTGATGTTGGACAGAAGGCCTGGCTCTCAGTCTCCACTCTAATTCATCCCAAAGGTGTTCTATCAGGTTGAGGTCAGGACTCGGTGCAGGCCAGTCAAGTTCATCGACACCAGACTCTGCCATTCATGTCTTTATGGACCTTGCTTTGGGCACTGGTGCACAGTCATTTGGATGTGTGAGCAAATACTTTTGGCAATATAGTGTAAATAATAATTGTTGAAAAAAAAAACTGGTCCAAATCTGCCTATATTCATTTTAAATGTGTACATCAAGAGATAAATTGATAAATATGGGGTCAGCTGGTAAGATGTGTACAAGTGAGCAGAGGTGGACAACAAAATATTGTACACAGGCAAGGTCGCAGTTTTACAAGCTACGCACACAAAAATAGGGCATGATTTTCAGAAACTGGCTGGCTGGTTGTTTGGTTGCAAACACTCAGAACTAAGATGGTAATGGATGATCTACCCATTTTCTGGCAATTTTGAGTCACCAACAGTCGCAGTCCAGTGAGATGCCTGGTGGTTGACTGAACGGGAAGACAGGGATGACTGTACGAAAAAAAAATCCAGTCTGGTGCTGCTGTGAGAAGAAAGAGGGKAAATGTGTGCATCTGTGTGTGAGTGTAGGGGAGAACGAGAAAAGAATAAAGGAAACTGGAAATCTTTGAGACGGTATAGATGAGAGGACAGGAGAAAGGGAGGAGAGGAGATGAGGAAAAAAAACATCTGGGTAAAACAAAGACAGGTGTGGGAATGCCATATGAGTACARGTGGAGAAAGAGTGAGGAGTTTGGGGTTTTCTTTTGTGTGAGAGGTAATATGTGCGAGAATATGTCTTCTGCTGTATATGCTTGTGTGTGTGTGTGAGAGAGAGAGAGAGAGAGAGAGAGAGAGAGAGAGAGAGAGAGTGAGAGTGTGTGTGTGTGTGCGTGTGTGTGTGTGTGCCTTCTGGCACCAGAATATGATGCAACATTAAA